AACTTCACAATGCATGCACCCTTTAATTTTTCAACCATTCTCAAATGTTTATTAGTCCTTTTATTTTAAATAGTCAGCATCACTTATTTATCTCATCATTGAGATTTAGGGAGAACCCCAACATAGGGTTTGCCCAAAACTTACGTCCTTAAAAATTATTGTTTCTTTTTATTTTTTATTTTGTTGCTATTAGTAACTGCTTGTTTCTTTAATTTCTCAAAAACGTTATTTAATTCTATTTTTGTAGAGTGTGTAAAACAAAAAGCTTCTATTTTGTCGGTATCATGGATTTCTTGCATGTTCTCAACTCAATCCCTTTTTTTCATATAGAGCTAGAAATGCATTAATCTACTTCCCCCTCAAACACTACAATCTCGTTATCCACTTTTTGGCTTTGCGCTAGCATAGTCTCGGATTAGGGCTGTCCATCCGGGCCGGCCCGGCCCGGCCCGGCCCGGCCCGGGAAACCGGGCCCGGGCCGGGCAAAACCCAAGCCCGGACCCGGGCCCGGGTGGTCCGGGCCGGGCCCGGGCCCGGGCAATGGCCCTCATTTGCAGCTGATCCACGCAATCTCAGACTTGGACTTGCTACTGATGGTTTCAACCCGTTCTCCATCTTAAGCTCTAAATATAGTTGTTGGCCGGTAATGCTTGTGAATTATAATTTGCCTCCTATGTTGTGCATGAAGAAAGATAATATTATGCTAACATTGCTGATTCCTGGTCCAAAGCAACCGGGAAACGACATAGATATCTATTTGCAACCACTTGTAGATGATTTGCAATTGTTGTGGGAGAATGGGGTTGAGGCTTATGATGCATTTAGCAAATCAACTTTCAATTTGAAGACAATGTTGATGTGGACTATAAATGACTTTCCAGCATATGAAAATCTTGCTGGCTGTTCTACAAAAGGAAGAAAAGCATGCCCTATATGTGGGAAAAATACACATTGTTAGACCCTAGAGGGGGGGTGATTAGGGTCTTATGCTAATCTAATCCAATTAAATGCCAATTAAATCAAATTTAAAGCTAAGAAATAAAAATTACAATTTTATGAATATTATCTAATCATTATATCTATCTGCTAGTCCCAACTCTTCAAATTTATCTTCAATCATAGCAATCCGTTCGATGCTTAGTGTTCGCTTCTCGTATCTCCACCAATCCTGTAAGCACATCACCGCTAGTACAGTATAAGGATCTAAGCATGTCCTGTGGTCGTCGATCAAACGTCCTGCTGTGCTGAAAGCGGATTCCGAGGCTACAGTCGAAACCTGCACTGATAGTAAGTCACGAACCATGGTGGAAAGTATAGGATATGAAACTGATCCATATACTTTCCACCATTGCAAAATATCTAAAGCATTTCCTTGACATCTAACTAAAGAAGCAGAAAAATATTCATCTATTTCAGAAACATCTAATCCTGATGAAGTTCCAGATCCACCAGTTAGTTCAGCTACCATTGCATACCTATCAAAACTTACACTTTTACCTCGACCTGTGCTCGAAGCTGAAGGTGCCGAAGCTGAAGACTGTTGTGTAGCTACACCATATCTAGCTGCATACTCATCATATAAGGTTTGAAAATAATTTCTAATAGCTAAATAATGAGTAGTAGCAGTAAGGGTGGATCCATCATCTAAGTCTATAATCTGTCCACCATACAATGATTGTAACAAACTTCGAAGGCCAATTTCCTTCAAGCATGGATCAATAAGAACACCAATACCGATTGTAACAAACTTCGAAGGTCAATATCCTTCAGGCATGGATCAATAAGAACACCAATACCAAAAATATGAGGAATAGGCCTAAAATACTTATTAAATTTACTCTCCATTTGAAAAATTATATTTCCAAAAATATCATCCATACGATATTTTGCAAAATTTTTTTGAATATTTAAAATTTGTAAAGCAGCTAAAGTAATAGTTGGATAATAACAACCAGATAATAACATAGTAGCATCATAAAAAACTTGTAACATCTCATTTAATTTACATATAACTGTCCATTCATCTTCAGTTATTCCATAAGCACTACCAGAGCTAGAACTAGAAGCATAAAAATTTATAAAATCATTTATAATTTCTTTATATTCTATTGCTACAGATAACATTGCATAGGTGGAATTCCACCTATGGTCAACATCTTTTGGAATTAGTCTAGGCTTATAATTTTTTCTTTTACAACATTGTTTCCATCTTTTAATTCTCATTTCAGAAGCATTATGCATATTAGTAACTGTTCTAACTTTTTCTATCATGGGTTTAATTTCAGAAAATGCACTTTGAACAATTAAATTTAAAATATGACAGATACATCTAACATGAAAAAGCTCACCATGACATGGCAATGACAAAGTTATTTTCAGAAAATCAACAGCTACATTATTATTACTTGCATTATCTAGTGAAAGAGTAAATATTCTTTGATCAATTTCTAGTTTCATAAGTTCTTCAACAATTAAATTTGCAACATTAATACCAGTGTGTGACTCTTCAATTGCAATAAAAGAAACAACTCTTTTAAACATTTTCCAACTTTCATCAATCCAGTGTGCTGTTATACATAAATAACCAGTTTGCACTCTAGATGACCAAATATCAGAAGTTAAAGAAAATTTGCAGTTTAAATTTTTAAAATAAGAAATTATTTTTCCCTGTTCCTCAACATAATATTTTAAAATATCACGTTGACAGGTTTGACGAGAAAATTTTGTAAATGCAGGATAAAAACCATCTCTAAATAAATCTTCAAATTCATCATCTTCTACTAATTTAAAAGGAAGGTTTTTAAGAACAATAAACCTGATTACGCATTTCCGGGCTCGGGCAGCGTCATAATTCCAACTGCCGAGGGTACCTGAAGAGGATGATTGGGAAAGCATAGACTGCCGGATATCACCTTGTAGATTTTGGCCTTTGTTGTGTTTTTCAATATGCCGTTTGAGATGGTTGGTGCCGCTCTTATGATGAGCTTTGAATATCTGGCCGCACAACGCACATTTCGCATTCTGAGAGATGATCCTACCGTGTTCATCCTTGGTGACGTCTATCTTCTCAAAAAAATTCCATACATCAGACCTCGGCCTTTTTGGAGCTCTTGGTGCCGTAGATTCGTCGCCACCAGATTCAGGATTAACACCGGTAGGATGAGGAGTTGTTGTAGGAGGACTCATCTCTGGATCGGTAGGAGTTGCATGTTGCTCTTCATAATCAGACCCAGAAGCCATTTGTTGGAAGTATTAGAAAATACAAAAGATTATAGGATAGTATATTAGTATGAGATAGTATAAGATTGTATAAGAGAGTAGTAGAGAGAGAAATAGATGAGTTTTGTTGTGAGAAAATGAATTGAAACCCCCCCTCTATTTATAGAAGCAGCCCCCTAGGTAAATGACCAAAAAACCCTCGAAAAATAGCCGTTTTTTGACCGTTTTAAGGGGCAAAACGGTCACATTCAAAGCCCAGTGCCCATTTTTGGGCACTGTTCCGGGCCCGGGCCCGGACCCGGGTTTTGCTCGGGTTTCCGGGCCCGGGCACGACCGGGCCGGACACCGGGCCGGGCCCGGGCTCCGGGCTTTTTGGACACCCCTATCTCGGATGATCATTGCAATATCGACATTAATGTCCACACTGCTTACCTGTAAATTGGAAAGGTGAGATTACTCTAATGATATTTGTAACATTTCGCAAAACTCTTCTTTAAAAGCTAGCTGCTAGAGGGAGAAAATTCAATACTCTTCTAAATTGACAATTCGCTTTGCCAACATACTAAACAGTGATTAAAAAATACATTATGATATTAAATTTTCTTAATCGATTGTGCTTGTTAACTAGGGGTGGGCGTGGGTCTGGCCGGTTTAGGCTTGTGCTAGCCCGCCGGTTCAAGGGGCTGGCCTGACGACGGATTCGACCGAGTCAGAATGCGTGTGACTTACTTCTCTGATCTGAGTTTGGGACTGGACTCAACCCGACCCATGACCGGCCTAGGTGTAGGCCGGGTTTGACCGGGGTCGTGGGCTGGCCCATAAGTTTTTCGTCCAATTCCCCCCATGTTTATTTACTTTTTTAATTATGTTAAACTTGTATTTACAATTATAAATTTATTTCTAATTTAATTTTTTAGTAATTTAAACTTATATTAAACTATTTTTAAATTTTTATTAAACATTTTAATCCTTCAAAGTAAACAGCAGTGAGCTTAAAGATCGTTGTTTTCTCTCAGTGGGCCCAAAGACCCACAAGCCAAAAACATATGACATTTTGGTTTTGTGGGCAACTAGCTTCAGACCTACAGGGCTATAGGAATAGCTGCACTAACCAAAATATATATCATGGGCTGGGGAGAGCCGGGTCGGGTCGGGCGTGGGTCGGGTCTACTTCTCTAATCCTAAGTTTAAGGCTGGACCCGATCTAACCCATGACCCGGGTATATTATGAACCGATTCGGGGCTAGACCGGACCGGGTCGTGACCCATAACGGGGTAAGACGAGTTAGCCTCAGGGTCGACCCGCCCACGCTCACCCCTATTGTTAACAATAAAGCACGTTTCAAGAGAAAAAAAAAGGTATACATGCACGAAAAAGAAAATTAAATGAGGCATGAAGTTCTTTAATAAATCCAAAACACAAATTATCAGGGGGTGGATCTCCCACCCTCTCTTCCCAAACCATAAACGGATCAGATTTTATGCAAACAGTTGTTCATTTAATCCAACGGCCATAATAACACAGTGGCGGCGGCACGCACGAAGCACAACGCATAAACAACAGTGCAATCTTCATCCCTAGGGTTAGGGTTTTAAAATATCTCCCATCTAGTCACTGACCAGCAGGCCCCACTTTTACTTACTATAACTTCCCGTCACCACCGCCCGTTAGAAGCCCCTCTGCAATCCAACGGTAGCTTAGTCGCTATAAAGAAGTGGGTGAAGGTACCGCGAAGGACCCGACTCTGTACAAGGCGAAAGGGGATATAAATGCAGAATTGGTCCCTCGCCGTCCTCTCTCCGTAGAAAGCCTAAAACCCTTTCTAAAACCCCTCTCGCTTTATTTCGATTTCGATTGGTGGCGAAATTAGGGTTAGGGTTTTGAGAAAAAAAAGATGGTGGCGGACAAAGGGAAGAAGGCTAAGGTTGCAGAGAGGGATGGGGATGAAGAGAATGATCACATTGATGGAGAGCTCGTGCTCTCAATCGAGAAATTGCAGGAGATCCAAGATGAATTGGAGAAGGTATCCACATCTCTCTCTGCCTTTCTATTTGATCTTAGATATTTATCAGAATTTGTCTGGGGATATTCTGTAACTTTTGAAATTGATGGAAAAGGAGCAGTCTTTTGTGCTTTGTGAGCTGCGTCATGTCGTTGAAGAGGAAGAATGTTGGTATGTTTATTTAATTTGGTAGTTTCTGGTTAGGGATGATCTCTTTAATTGGAGATGATCTATTACTGACTTGGGTGGGAGTATCTTACATTAGCTTAGAGTTTTTTTTAAGATTTAATAATCCTAGTGGAGTTTTGTGTGTTTGTGTCGGGGTGGGGCAGGGTGGGGAGATTTGGAGGGAGGGGAGGGGAGGGGAGGATAAAAGGTGAACTGGCATATTGACGGGACAATCGATGAATGATAGAATTAATGTAGAGATAAGGATGCATGGCATAGAAGTCGAAGAAATAGTAGAAAATGTGGATACTACTTGAAAAAAAAGACTACTTAGCTATCGCTCGTAGTACCAGTGGCAGTTGTTTTAGTACTTTGTAATGAATAGATCTGGGTTAGAATGTTCTGTCGAGTCTACATCACATATAATATAAGAAGCATGTCATTTAATGCTGTTCTCCTGGAAAAAACTGCAGTATAGCTCTAGCTATAGTTAGTCATCATTAATAATTTTCCTCTAAAAGAAACTTCAAGCCATTTACTGTGGTAAACATGGGAGCGAAGCATGTGCACGACGGTGCCAATGATCTTGTGAGTTTGACTGTGTTGTACTTAAATTAATGATTTTAATTCACTTAGTCTTATACAAACTGTACTGGGCTTAGTTAGGCTTTGATTCTCTTTGTTATTCTGTGTAGTCATGGGAAATCTTGTTATGGTACTTTTTAATATGTATATTGAGGATGTTAAAAGAGAAGATGATGAATTATTTGACACGCTGATGCCAAGTTGTTATTAAAATTTCAATTGTTATGCTAATTAGTTCTTCTTTCATAAGAGAATTCATGCCACGACTTAAAGCTAATGAAACCGATAAGAAATTTGTTGGACAGTTTTGTTAGAAATGTTAATTGATGTAAATGTTCCCCCCTGTTCTTATCAGACGTCTGAACTGGACTAAAATGTTCCATCCACAGATTATATTATTATAAGGAATCTAATCGCTTTCAAAGTTTAATGGTTATGTGTGCGTGTGCGTGCGTGCGTGTTTATTCTGATAGTTATGCAAAATCGGCAATCCCATTGCAGCTTTAAAACCATTGATCTTGCTATTCTTTTACTGCTCTGCTGCTCTTTTTTTCAAGCATAGCTAATTTATAGATGCTCTTGATATATTTATTGGCCTTAGTTTATTATTTTCAGTTGCTGTTGTTTCAGCATTTAGTCACATATCGCCTCTGAATGCTCAAATGCATTCAGTATTAAGAATGTTAAACAAGCAACTAAGCAAGTCACAGTTATGGAAGAAGATTGTACCTCAATGCTGTATGCTTGACTGCTTGGTTTTTTCCTTTAATCCACTAATACAATTTTTTCTTGACAGGTAAATGAGGAGGCCAGTGACAAAGTTTTGGAGGTGGAGCAGAAGTATAATGAGATCCGCAGGCCTGTGTACAAGAGAAGGAACGAGATTATTCAATCTATTCCAGACTTTTGGTTAACTGCGGTAATCAAGTTGTCTCTACATACATGTATTGCATTCATAACTTTATTTCTTTTCTAAGCCGCTAATTCAATCTGTATTTTCATCTGTGCAGTTTCTTAGTCATCCTGCACTTGGAGATCTCTTAACTGAGGAAGATCAAAAGGTATGCCAAACTTCATACATAATGCATTTGTATGCCCACGTAATAAAGTTATTTGATTTGTTAACCTAAATACATTTTTGTTCCTTTTCACCTTTATAAGAACTTGCTATTTTGATGCCCTGTGCTTGAGCTGAATTGACAGCTAATCCTTGATATAGCCAGCTCGCTTTTCTTTGACATATAACTGCTATTCTCATACCTTGTAAATTGTCCCCTTCTGTAGATTTTCAAGCATTTGGTTTCTTTGGACGTGGAGGATTCAAAAGATGTGAAGTCAGGCTATACTATTACATTTGTGAGTTATTCTGAAATTTAAATTTATTGTCTTCTGTTCATGATTGTATTATCCATTTATTATCTACTATTTATATTGACTTGTTCAATTTTATAATGCCCAGAACTTCTCTGCTAACCCTTATTTTGAAGACACCAAGCTTTCAAAGACATACACTTTCCTTGACGAAGGAACAACTAACATAACTGGAACAACAATTAAGTGGAAGGAAGGGATGGTGAGCACAGACATCATAGATCATCTACAATTGTACTAATTGTTTTGTTGATAGCATATCAACTAGTAATTATGATTTCTTTTTTTGAAGGATATTTCAAATGGTGTCGATCATGAGAAGAAGGGGACAAAACGGCCATTAAGTGAAGAAAGGTTAGTCCTTATGTTGCATAATGTTCTCTTTAGCAATTTCAGTTACACTTTATTAAATTAATTAAGCATTACTAAGCTGTTCTTAAATTAAACAAGCTGATCCATTTTGGACTGACAATTGGCCAGTTGGTTTATTTTTATGCCTGAAGTATAGAATGTAAAATTTTGTGATTCCAATTGTTTTAAGGGTTAAGTAATTTGTCTTCTCTTGATCGGATAATTTATATTTCCTTGTAGTTGTAAACATCAGCCTCTATCTTGCATGGATACAAATACACTGCCAGTGGGGCTTGCACAATTTATATTAGGGATACACTAAATCATTTGTTTAATATGGATCATTAATTTCATAATGCTTAGCTATATTATATACATCCTAGTTTTACTAAATCATTTGTTTAATATGGATCATTAATTTCATAATGCTTAGCTATATTATATACATCCTAGTTTTCATTTTACACATCTTTTTTGGATCATTAATTTCATAATGCTTAGCTATATTATATACATCCTAGTTTTCATTTTACACATCTTTTTTGGTGATGCAGTTTCTTCAGCTGGTTTGGTGAGACACAGCAGAAAAATCTTTTGGAAGGAATGTCTGATGAGGTAAAAATAGAGTTGCGTTTTGCAGCTTGTGAAATTTACATTTTCTTCTAGTTATGAATTCTGTTGTGGTAAATAAGTTGAGTGTATCCTCTGGATGCTGATGAGTTACTAATGTGTTTCATTTTCCTTTTTTATATTTACTTCTTTCAGTTTCCAGTTTAGTTTTATGGAGAATTTGAATTTTACTGGTTAGTGCTGATTCCTCTTTCTACTATGAAAGGTTAGGGCATGTTAGGTTGCATGAGGTAGGAAATTTTGTTTTCTTCTTGAAAATGGAAAGTCTTAAAAGAACATTTTAGCTAATCCCATGGAATTTCACGACTCCTTTCGCAAGATATTTTGCATGCCCCCCCCCCCCCAACCCAACCCAACCCAAAAAAAAAAAATCCGAAAAAACCACTACTGTATGCAGCCAAACATTCTCTTAATGTTGTACAGTGCATTATAGAAATTACTAACAATCATTTTATATTTCACATAAATTGAAGAGAGATGTATGCTTCTGAATTCTGATGTGACATAAAAGGTAATCGAAGATTTGCAGTGTCATCTGCAAATTGCTGCCATCGATCTTCGTTATTGTCTTTGGTTTTTGTGTTTTTCCCTTTCTTTTTTTTGGTTCTCCGATAATTTTTGGGTATGCAGTTACTGTCAATTACAGTCATTCGACGGAAGAGTGAAGTTATACTACTACTTATACTATTATTCTTTTCTAAGTTTTTAAAATGAATTTTAACTTGTGAAAGCAGGTAGCGGAGATAATAAAAGAAGATTTATGGCCCAACCCACTGAGGTATTTCAACAATGTGAGTATTCTTTCCTTGTATGTGTACATCCTCATAGACATGTTTGGCAATTAGCCTGGAAATGGGTACTGTTGAGTTTAATTGACCTGGTTCCAATGTAGCAAAACCCCCTGAACGGTGTTGATTTGTTTTTTTGGGGATATATGGAGAAGGATTCTCGCTGCTTCTTTTAAGCATCACTTGGGTGGATCATCTCTTACTCCATATAGAGAGGATTCCTTGACCCATCAGCATGGGCCATTTTACTAATGCTTCTTACGAATAAACTGTTTGACAGAGTTCGGCAGACTAAATCCCTTAATCCTCATTTGTCTCTTCTTCAATAAGCCTTCCAGAATATTTATCCTTAATAGATATCATTACCCATTTTTGAAAATATAACCTGCATTTATGACTGCTGTGCAGGAAGCTGATGAAGAGGATTTTGATGGAGATGATGACGAGGTGAATGTTGAAGTTATCACTAAATTTAATAGTTTCTAGCTTATGTTGGTTTGCATTTTCCTCTGGTTGAAACATCTTGCTCATATTGGTATCTTCACACCTCATAGTGGTGTTATACATGATGTTTCAATCATTCTTCTGTAGGCTTCCTCTGTTTTAGATGTTATGCATTAACTATTTCTTCGTAAAACGCCTGGATTAAGCTTAATTGGTGACAACCTGCTTCTTGTAACCGATTTAAGTAAACAAATTTTGTTGATTGAATTATTATGTCTAGTTGCATACCAAGTAGAAGCATTTAGACACAGTTCTCATTCACTGATATCTACTTTCATCAAGTGACTTGTTGTTAGCAAACCAGTATAATTTGTTAATGTAAGATATAGCCTGATTTTTCCTATATCTTGGTGACTTGCTTTAGTTTTCACCTGTGAAAATAGGCTTATAGGAACTCTATTACAGAAACTAAATGGTGAATTTTATTTGAATATGTTATCATGACATAAGGGAGGCAAAATACTGAATACTGACTAGATAAAATTTTATTCCAAATCGCTGTGAGATTTACCTCCGTACCACATGTTGCATATTATTCATTCGCTAGTTATCATTGTTCTTTTCATAATCACTTTGTTTAACTTAGGGAAGTTACTGTGAATGAGTAGAAGGTATTCCGGAAGGACATTTGCAGTTAAAGAGATTGTAGAGGGAGAGTTGTAGGTACCTGTACTATATTATATATGTACATGGCTAAAAAAAATTCAGCTACTATCTTGAGGTAATCAATCAGCTCATGTGCATAGACAATAGGCAACGTGATATGTAGGTATCAAATTCTTTGGAAAGCATTTGTTATGCAAGCATGTTTGCTGCTATATTTCTTGTGGATAGATAGGCAATACAGAACAGTACTTGTTTTGCTTGGAAATAGATCTCTGTGATATGATCGAGGTCGTGGTTCTGTAATAAGACTTTGAGCTGCTAGTTGAGTGTTGAACTGTTAGGATTTATATCTAAGTTGATGCATTCTAAACTTTCTAGTTAAATAAATTTCTATTTGATTGCTTATATGAACAACTATCTTATTATATTTGTTTTGGCAGAACGAAGATGAGGATGATGAACAGGATGACGATGATGATGATGAAGAATAAGCGAGAAACATTTTCTTCTGTACTGTCTACTTTGGTCTGGTTCAATATCCATTCAGATTCTAGCGAAAGGGGATCAGTATGTGTTAAAAATTAAGGGGCGTTTTCCTTTTTTTTTTTGATTGGCAAAAGGATCTCTTAACAGAAGCTTTTATTTATACTAGGATTTTTATTGCAGAACAGTGGTCTTGTAGAGTTTTGGGCTTGTTTTTCTTTTTCTTTTTCTTTAGGGTCAAAAACTTTGTTTAAACGTCTGCGTGCGTAATTTCTAGACCTGGTACCTTTGCCCCCTACTTTAATCTACAGCAGTTAATATGAAAGTCATCGGCGGCTATATTTGTATAAATTTTTATAGCTGTTATTGCATCGATCTCAGTAGTTAGCGTTAATAATAACAGCGCATTAGATACAGAATTATTATTGTTTTTCCGTTATCACATGCCTTTTTAAGTACTGCTTGCTCCTACGTGTAAATTCGCTTCGTGCATGTTAATATTCATTGGCGCAGCACTTGAATTTCTTGCTGGTAGGCATTGTAAATGAGAAATTTACTTCACTTTTTCGGTCACCAATGAGTTATTTTCTATCTGAAGGATGATGGGTGAGAACTTTTGATCGTATACAAGAAATTATGAGTTTTCTCTAGGGTTACATCCCACGTCCCACCTGCAACATTGAGCTTTAAGTATGGTTAATAAATGAGAGGGTTAACTGCGGACAGATTATTAGATGTATTATTACCAAATTACGAAAGACACTCGAAGTGCTATTTGTGCAGAAAAACCCCCTCGAGTTTACTTTTTCACTCAGGGTTCCAATCGTAGTAGCTATTCCGCAATTGAGCTATAAATACATTGCATTCCTGAAACAGAGTTGCTCCCCCTGGAGCTCATGTTCATTAAAGTTGCTTCTGATCATTCCTCTTCAAATAATACAGGTTTTATATGAGTGCTAACATGGGCGGATCTGATTTTCTTTTATTTACATATCGGGGAATTTCACCTCCTTTGGACTTTTCTTCTAAATTGAATTCGCATTTAAAATAACCTTAAATATCATTATATGTTTGGTCTATGCAATGTACAAATGGGAACAGAGCCGAGAATAAAATATGCATATATAAAAATTTCGAAGTATCGTAATCTCAACACAAATTATATATAATTAATATAAAATCCAAAGCTAACTGTGTATGCATTAGAGAATCACGTAGAAATATGAAACCAAAAGTTTGCAATTCCCAGCGCACAAATAAATTTCGCAGAGAAAGAAAATGACGGTATACCTTATCAAAAGGAAGTAAAGCCAAGGTTTGGTCTCGCTGCTCAGTTGTCATTATATTCCTTCTTGCAAATCAAAGGTTCATAGCAAATTTAGCCTACTAGCATTTGTATTAATATGTAATACAACCATATATACATATATAAATGTGTGTGCGCGGGCGTGTATATATATATATATATATATATATATATATATTCAG